ATGCTTCTCCAACCATACGAATCCGAGGACCAAGGGGGAACATGCAGAAGGAAACACAAAAAAGGTGATAGTTTCTCGGTGGTTACCTGACAGAAGTAGCTCGAGGGGCTGGGTTTGGTGGGTAACACGATGGAGTCTCTTTCCGTCTATGGCAGACACACTGAAAGGCCGAGACAGGGGAATGGTTTTAATCTGAAGCTGCTGGACGAGCTCAGAGTCGATTAGATTGCGCTCACAGCCTGAGTCGATGAAGGCGGAGAAAGAGAGACTCTGGTTATTACAGAACAAGGTAGCTGGCAGCAAAAGTCGAGGAGATTTACTTGAATTTATATGGCCCGCCAGACTCCTCATATCCTCTGGCGGGCCCCGGCTTTTGATTTAGCCGGGCAGGAGGCGATAAAGTGACCACTCTCACCACAGTATATGCAAAGTTTTCCAAGAAAACGCCTTTGTCTCTCCTCAGGAGAAAGCCTAGTGTGTCCCACCTGCATAGGCTCATTATCCCTTTCGCCTGAATGAGAGGCCTGAACAGGCAACGATAGAGTCTGTGGCTTAGATCTCTGTGTGGACATCTGCTCTGTAGAGGGAGAGAGAACAGCCATGTTATGAGTGGCAGAGGAAAAATTACTTTGCTTCTTGGAGGTGTTTCTGGCTCGAATTCTGTTATCTAATCTGATGGCGAGACGAATAAAATCGTCAAGGGAAGCTGGTTCATCGAGGGTAGCAAGTTCATCCTTGATTTGTTCATTTAAAGCCGTGAAAAATGCTCCCTTTAGAGCGCTCTGGTTCCATCCGGAAGCTGCCGCTTTAACCCGGAAGTTAATTGAGAAATCAGCCACAGAAGAATTACCTTGTTTAAGGTTGAAAAGAGCTCTGGAATCGATCGTTTGGTCCGTCTCCTGGTTAAATACCTGGGAAAATTCAGCAATAAAGTCAGAAAAACGGCAATTTACACCGTCGTCGATGGCAAATCTTGCCTGAGCCCAATCTAAAGCTCTTCCTGTTAACTGAGAGAGGATGAACGATATCTTCTTGTGGTCTGAAGAAAAACAACTAGGAGAGTTCAGAAAAATCAGCCGGCACTGGAATAAAAAACCCTTACAATCTTTCATGTTACCAGAGAATTTTTCTGGGAGACTAGGACGGAACTCTGATGACGTCACAGGTTGTGACCTCGGGGGAGGAACTGGACCCGGAAATGGTTGCTGTGCTGATGTAGCATTAGCGCCATTGAAGTAGTTAACGTAGCCTTGAATAGCTTGGTTCTGTCTTTCAATATGTGCATTCAACTCACGTAAGGCCTGGCTGAATCCTTGGATTTGAGCAGCCTGTTCGTCTAGCCGACGGAGATGGTGATCTGCTGGGCCTTGAGTTTGGCCGCAGTGTTCTGTCATGATCGGTTCTCTAATGGAGACCCAAAGATGCAGAACACCACTGACGGACACAGGATGAAAAGTTTAACAAGTTTATTTGCACAAGCACACAATATGCCGATGACTGGTTCGGGCCTGGAATCTGGTTTCACCGGAGTCTGCGTGAGAGACAGCACAGTTAAGGACTGTTGACGGGGTTTTGGTTTCCAATGGTGCTCTGATAGTACCTTGAGGGTTCTTGAGGTTCTCCTTGGGAGAGTCACTGTTGGTTCTGGAGAAGGATGTGTTAGCAGAGTCCGTTAGCTGCTTCAGTGTCTCACGTCTTATTTGAACAGACCTTGGCTTGGGTTTCCTAGCTCTTGCCCAGAGCTGCTTAGAGGTTGACTGAGAATCTTCAGGGTTCGGCTCGGAGGGTCGGCTCGGCAGGTTAGCTCTTCCAGAGCTTTCACGGAGGAAGCACGAGTCACCTAGAGGCACAGAGACAAACGTTAGAATCTGACTCGGGATTAAGGACATGGAAAAATCACTGAGATCAAGGCTTTAGCGCTGACCAACTGGAACAACACTGCGGCGTTGAGGTAAGGTCTGAAGGCAGCTTAAGTAGTGGATCCTCTGATGGTCTTGATGAGCTGCACCTGTGCAGGAGGCTCCCTCAGAGGATCCACGGCGGACTCTGCTGGAGAAAAATGGTATTTTCTCCAGCTCCCAACAATATATAGGAAACAAAGTTTGTGTAAGATAAAAGCTTTATTAGATGTGTAGCATTTATTTAAAAAGCATTTTACTCACATAACCAAAGTAATAAACAGGTCCAAAAAATACAAGAAAACAAAACTATACAAATGACTAATAAAATGAAAACACCTCAAATTAAAATATAAAACCAAAAGAACTGCCAGAAATGGGAAGAAAGGTATGTGAAAGAGAATAAAAGATTAATTCTGCTTAACAGAAACCAAAAGACAAGTTTAAAAGATGTATCTTTAATGGTGTTGGGATCCAGAAGCTTGCCCACCTGACGGCGCCAAGGATCCCTTCCTGAGGGCTGGTGCTCACATGCAACACCTGTTTTCCATCTGCTCATCTAGAGGTCCCTACTTAGGGAGGCGGAGAGCTACACTCCAGCGCCAGAGTGTTTGCCAGTTCTGGTTGGCAAGCCTGAGCCAACCTGCCTGTCTGAATCTCTGACCACCTTGAAACCTGAGCCTGAACCTGATCCGTTTTCTCCTTCCTCCTTCCCAGGTTGAACCTGCCTGGAAGAGTTTCTCTGTTGGAAATCTGCCCGCCTGATCTCTGAAGAACCCTGGAGAATCTCTCCTGCCAGGGACCTGCCTGCCCGCTCTCTGAAGAATCTAGAATGGAAACCCAAACCAGTAATCAGCAAACACTCAACCAAGCTCTGCCACCGCCAAGCCCTCAGCCTGCCAACAGCCTCTTGACCCTCAAGGTCGCCCACCTCAGCCTGGTCCTCAAGAGAGAGGAAGAGAGGGAGAGCCAAGCCTGGAATATGCCCGCCAGCATTCTGACAGCCTCTTCCCAGCTCTCAGCTCTCCACCTGCCAGCACAGGGTTCCCAACCAGAAACCTGCCCGCCAGCACTCAGACTGTCTCAGCCTAGTTATTAGTTCACCTCCTGTCAGCACTCAGCTCTGCTAGCACTCAGCCCTCGGCCTGCCAACTGCCTCTGGATGCACAAGGTTCCCCCCCCTCTCTGCAGCTCTGCTCATCCCCAGACCAGTGGGGAACAAAATCCTAATCAGTTTCCCAAACCCAGGACTAGTTTTATTAGTAAACATTCCTTTAAATAAACCTTTAAACTTTACCCTGTCTCCGAGTGGTTCTGCATATGGGCTAGTGTCCTTTTCCCTTTATGACAAATGGTTGTGTGTGTTTTTTAAAAAGCATAAAAAAGTTGCTAAATTGTTTTGAAGAATCATCATAAAAGTGTAGAGGCCAGTAAGAAATATCTCAATAAGCTTCAGCTCATCAATCATTATATTAAAAGACTTCTGACCAAAACAAGAAAATGGGTCAAATCTAATCTGATTTATCTAAACAACCAGGTGCTGACCATGATGCACTTTGCTCTGCAGTTATCTGCCAAGACTTGGCTTATTGAGGGAATAGTTAATCACTCCTGATATTAAAGTACGCTTGTTGCAATGTTTCCAGGTTATAAATACCAAGTACTCATTTAGTTCAGAACTGATAAACCAAAACTTACCAGATAACAGCATCAGAAATTAGATAAATTCTTGACTAAATAGTAATTTAATCAACACAAACACGTGGGTAACACATACTTTAAAAGAACTGCCGCTCTGCAAAGTAATCTTTTGGGAGGAAACATTTTGTTTTTATCAATCTTCTCCCCAACTGTTGTATTTTCACTGTTTGCTGTTTTGAAATGAAAGCCTATAATTTCCTTTTTGTGTATGCTTATATTAGTTTAAATTCCATGTGTCACAGTTACTGTATCTGTGACATTGAACTTTCTGAAAGCTGGCGGCTGAGTCAACACTTACTCAAATCATCTTCACAGTATTACCCCAGTGACTTATTAAATCCGTCCATATTTGCATTCGTTTATTCATCTACATTAAAACAAAACAGGACAGCAATGCAATGGCTGCAGCAGTAATAATAGAATTTTGATTTTAGTCTTGAAAATGCTCTCTGATCTTCAGCAACCAACCACATCAGCTCACCACCTTCAACCAATCTTTTATAAAGAAAAAACACATTCCTGCTAAGTTAGCCCTTTGAAGGACCCAGTCCTTCAAAGGCAGTACAAATAAAGAGTCTGGAAGAGTTGGGCTATAGATTCAATAGCTCACATGGATACAAAATGTTACCGCAACATTTCATTTCCCTTTGGGATTAAAAAACTATTTTTGAATTGCATTGAATGATCAAGACATCTGAGTCCAAATCTGGCATAGCAGGCCAAGTGTGCAGATGCTTAGTTGGGTAGCAGGCTGAGTTGTGGATATGAAAATATTTTAAGCTTGTCTCTGACTGCAGATTCTGACTTTGAGGAGGTGCAGTCCAATGCTGTTTGGCTTGCTACAATGAAGGATGAGTGTCTGAGTGAATGTGGGTAAGTGATTCAGGTTATTCAGTTGAAGTTCTGCCTAGGCTTCATTAACACAGTGTGTAACTTCAGAAAAGTAATATATTAATAACATTTTCGTTTGTTGATGCTAAGAGAACAAATTACAAAAAACAAAATCCTCACCATGTTATTATCAAAAATATTGCTCCTATTTCCTTCTGATCTTGTCATGCAAAATAATATGCCCTGGAAATAAGAAAACTTCAAACAAATTCTGTTGAGAAAATATGGAGGAAACTGAATATTTGGATTTCATTTGATTTGAATATGTGGATTTCCTATGTTTCTCACGATATGAATATGAGATAACAGACCCAAAGGTAAAAAGAAACACGATATTCCCATATTTCATGACCAAGTATTGAGTTTGTTGTTTTTATCACGAAAAGGTCAAGGCTTAAAATTTTATTGTCCTCACGTGCTTTTAATAACAAAACAGTTAATGATTAGTCACTGCTCACTCAAAGAATATTTAAGGATGGGTCACCACACAATGCACAAGGTTGACCTACAGAGTCTAAAAACTTAGAATGGGAAAGATGATGTTTGTTCAGGCGTTGCTGCTCTGTTCTCTCTACACTGCTCAGCTTCAGGCTTCAACTAACGATGAAATTGTTTCTCATTTAAGGCAAACTGGATCACAGGTAGGAGATACAGGAAATCTATCTGAACCCCAACAACCATTTCCACAGGACATCAATACTGTACTCAGAGTGATGAGCGCCGCATTGGCTGGACTACAGGTAGAGATGAAGTACCTACAGAGAGATTATGAAGGTGCGTTGAATCACAGCAGTGTAGCTTTTACGATAGTTTATTTGAATTAATGATTGATGTGTACTGATATAAATGTAACATCGGTGTTATTAATATTCTTTTTGTTACTCAACTAGCTAAAACAAGAGAACTGGAGCTACAGAAAGATGAACTTGACAAGCTGAAACAACAGTACCAAGGTAACTATATAACAGCTGCTATTATTAATGCTGTTGTGAAAAAAATACATTTTTACATAGATCGAAGTTTAAAGGAGTAGTACGGTAATCCAATGGTTTAGATAAAATATCTGCAGGGACAACTGCAGAATGATGGATCATTTTGACAATAGATTTTGTAAATCCAAAATCCAAGTTTGCATGATGACATACCATCACCGTTTTATTTACAAAAAATAGCGATGCTAAAATACTTGTTATTTTGCTGCCATATTTTCAGCTCAAGCAGGAGATCTGAGCAGTGTTGAAGATCAAGTGGAGGTTCTGAAGAGAGAAGGAGAAGGTTAAAAAATCCTGTATCCTCAAATCATTGGATTATTGGGATTTATTATGGATGCTATAATTTCCAAGCTTCACATTTCCCCATAATCAAAGTTCTTAACATATCAACAACTAATACACTGTAAAATATAGAGGTCAGAATGAAAAATCACTATGACATCAATAATTTCTAAGAGTCTGTGACTTTATTCTTTTTGCAAAAGATTTCTGGAGGTTTTTATATTTTCCCATTAATGTTGCCATTAACTAATGTATACACAGCTGTATGTCTACCAGGAGTATTTGTTTAAAAAAAAAAAAATAACTTTTCACAGATCGAAAAACAAAAGAACTGGAAATGTGTTGTGAATTGGCACTATTTAATTAAACTGAATGGAACAATTATGTTGATATGCTAGTATTCAAATAGAAATAATATTACAGTTCTTTTGTTATGAAACCACACTAGCTAAAACGAGAGAACTGGCGCAGCAGAAGGATGAGCTGGACAAGCTAAAACAGCAGTACCAAGGTAAGTCAACAATGAAAACACAAATCTAAAAATGAACTTTAGCTTCACTTAAGGTGTCAAAAATTACTTTGTGTCAACAGCACTTTTTTAATATCAGAAAATAAATACTGAAGCAAAATTTTACTATGATGACAAATTAATTTGCATCATACCTATATAGTTTACAAGAAAGAACATGGCTTACCTTACACTCATCCTTAGGTTTCCATATCTAAGACTGAAACCAATTCATCCCTTATTGTTCTTAGATGTCTTCTCATAACTGATAAACTAGCTCCCTATGTAATAGTGATGGGTTCAGCAATACCGATGCCTCACCACATATGTCGTGCTCATAGAGCGAAACACTGGCTGTGTCCGAATGTCAGGAATCCAGTTTGTGTGGTCTGTTTTTGTGTTTCCTTTCCTCCACCACCAGGTGGTGCCCCATCCTCATTGGGTCTCCCTGCACACCTGCAGCTGATTGCCTCATTACCTGTGGAGTGCTCTTAAAGGAATAGTACACCCAAAACGCGATTAGCCTTCATTTTCTACTCACCCCCATGCTGAACAACACCCTGGAGTACTTTTTGATATCTCAAATGCATCTGGAGATCTGGGAGGCTTCTTGCTGTCTGCTGACATTCAAATAATGGAGGTCTATGGTGCCCGAGGCAGAAAGGTCCATAAAAGTCCACAAAAAACGTGTCAATATTCCTCCATACTGCTCGTCCAATGTATTCCAAGTGTCCTGAGTGGGTAGCGTCCATAATTTACTCGAAACAAAGTCATTTAGAATGTTTTTAGAGCATAAACAGTAGTTTATAGGATGTCCTAAAAGCGCGTTCACGAGTCTACGGAAACCGCGGCAGACCAAACTAGTCGAAAGTGCGCATTCAGCGTCTGCTCTGCCGATAATGCAAGCGTAGAAGAAGAAATGTGCTGTTTACCTGTGCAAAGAAAGAAACAATGAAAGAAAAATGTCTGAGGACTTCAGTGTTGAGGAAGAGCATGAGTTCTTTGCCGAGCTGAATGCGCACTTTCATCTGGTTTGGTCTGCTGCGGTTTCCGTAGACTCGTGAACGCGCTTTTAGGAAATCCTATAAACTACTGTTTATGCTCTAAAAACATTCTAAATGACTTCGTTTCGAGTAAATTATGGACGCTACCCACTCAGGACACTTGGAATACATTGGACGAGCAGTATGGAGGAATATTGACACATTTTTTTGTGGACTTTTATGGACCTTTCTGCCTCGGGCACCATAGACCTCCATTATTTGAATGTCAGCAGACAGCAAGAAGCCTCCCAGATCTCCAGATGCATTTGAGATATCAAAAAAGTACTCCAGAGTGTTGTTCAGCATGGGGGTGAGTAGAAAATGAAGGCTAATCATGTTTTGGGTGTACTATTCCTTTAAGCTGCTGACTGCCACTACCTCGAGGCCAGAGTGTTTGCCAATACTGGGTACCATAGCCATGCTTAGTTTAGCAGAGTCTAACCTGAGTCTTTGTTTTGCCACACAGCAGCGGCGTAGGAAGCGGGGGGGACGGGGGGGACATGTCCCCCCCAATATAAAAGCCAGGTGGATATGTCCCCCCCAAAAATTGTACCGCAAAATATTAGATTTTGACAATTTTTTAACTACCGTGCTTTTATTTTGAAGGCGCAGCATAGCGTTACGTCACTGTACTCCCCCTCCCCTCTGTGAACTGTTGAGTGTTTGAGCACTCATAGTATGGCAAGCCGTTTTAACATAAATTCGGTTTCGTCTGACTATCCATAATTACGTTCCAGATATCTTAAAATACTTTTTGACTAGACAAAACCACATTTTGACTATCCGGAACAGTAATTTAAGATATCTCTATTTACAATCTGATTAGGAAGAATAATAATTCAAGATATCTTCAATCACATTTTGACTAGTCAAAATTCCTTTCAAGATATCTCAAATTACGTCACCGGATTCCTCATTTAAAGCGTCACACATCGGTAATTATAATTTAAGATATCTCGAACGTAATTATGCCTAGTCAGTATTACAATTTTAGATATCTGAAGTAAGAGATTGCGTGTAAGCCTCTTATTGGCTGTACTAAGCTGTTCAAACAATTGCCTGAAGATTCAATGGTGCTGGCAGTTTTGGACAAAATTGTGAGAAAATGCCACAATATCGAAAGAGTTTTTCATTCTGGGTTATGTGGAGAGCGAGAAAAAAAGCATTCTTGAAGAATGCTTGCGGAATTTGCAAAGAATTTCTGATCAACTTTCTGCCGACACACACAACGCACTTAAAACGGCTTAGAGGAGCTGAAAGTGTTAATATCGACCCATGTCCGATCTGAAACAATGAATATTCGGCAGCCCGGGCCGGTTCAGGTAATAACCAGATGCAGTTTTTAATACTGTGGTAAAGCTTTCTGCCTCTTCGGAAATTATAGTAAAGCCAGCTAGCTTTTGATTTTGACTTGCTAGACGGCACAAAGCATTACAGCACCCTCCTTCAGCTCCTCTGAAAATAAAATGGCACCTCCGCTTCATGTCTGATTCACACTTAGATTTTCTTTTTTTTTTATTTTATTGAAAAACAAATTCAAAATACTATTTCAAACAGCAGAAAAGTAAAATTGAACAGATGCAATCCATAATGGTTTTTATAAGATAAAAAAAACTATAAACTTAAACAGACAAAAAATTTTAAAGAATCAAAAGGAAAAAATAGAAAAAAAGAAAAACAAAATAAAACAAGTAACACAGGGGTTTAGCTAAAGTATACTGCTATAAAATCTGAAGACCTGAAGGATTCTTTATTTTACAGTAACTTAAGTCATGAAAACGTTTTGCTTGGAAATTGTGAGACATTTTAAAGAATCTTCACTTGTGAATAAATCATTTTCCAATAATGAATATAATATTACATTAAAACACTTTTAGTAAGCTTGAAAAAATTCCTCTCCAGGTTATCATTCCAAAGTAGTCTTTTTCTGTAGAATTTCATCAATCCATCCAGTTCATGAAACACTCCTTTTTTCTAGCTTTAAAGAAACACTACAGAAAATAGCATCTGTTGACACAAATTGTTTTCCTCCACTTTAGGAATGCAACGATCCAGGGACAGAGCAGGGGGTCAGTGGGAACCCTACTGCTGCCACCTGGCCCTGGTTTGTCCTCATGGATGAGGTATTAGGACAGAGGCCCTCTGTTAAACTCACCTGTCCTAATTGCCTCCATCCCTGAGGACACACCAGGGCCAGGTGCTGCAGAGGCTGAGCAGCATCAGGGTGAAGAGAATGAGGATGAGAGAGGAGGGAAAGGAGGAAGAGAAGAAGGAGAGACGAGATGGTTGATTTAATGAGGGAGGATATCAGATGGCAGAGGGAGGAGGGAAAGGATGGACAGATTATTTAATTTATTGGAGAGGATGGTGGACAGATGTTGATTTTTTGTTTTGTTTTGTCTTTTACAAGTTGAGGTTCTGTGTTGCTGTTATTGTTAAATTAAATTATTAAATTGTTTATAAAAGTTATTGTTGTCGGTGTGTCTTTTAAACTTTTTATATTATCTGTTTCATCACTACTTTACAATTTAACCCCTTGAACCCTACGGACCCACCGGTGGGTCCAGCTGCTACGTGACCTCGTAATTTTAACAAACCCCCAGTATTGATGTAAAAAACACATTTGGCACAGTTTGGTGACATTTTTGGATAAATGTGCCAAAATGGCCTCTCCGCCTAAGAAATTTCTCACTAATACCATTCTAAAATAAATATGATTCATGAGTCCAAATTTGGTATATTTTTACACAACATTTAGATTTAAAAGTCTGTACTACTTTTTTGTGCTATAAATAATATTTTGATAGTGTTTTGCAATGTTTATTTCAAAGAAAATTTTGGCGAGGTTCAAAAAATGCAAAATATTTTGTCCCTAATATTTCAGGCAGGGTCAAAGCTGCAATGGTGCTGACACCAGAAAACCATTCTATGACATCTTACCTTTACAGAGGTACCAAAAGTTTCTTCTTAAATCTAATAGCTTTGAGGCTATAAGTGATTTACTTTTGTGTGTTTTTGTCAGGCAGAAATGTATTTCTTCCCCCCGAGGGTGTAAGAAGTTAAGTAAACTTAGAACAACTTCTCAGTGACAACATCAGTTTATTTTTTAGAGAAGCAAGTATTTACAATAAACTATTAAAAACATTTTTAACTACATTAGATTTTAAAATTAACTACTACTATTTACGGAAGATATACAATAATTATTACTTGAGAACATATATATATACACAATTGTCACTGAGCAGGAGTCCCTGGTGGTGCTGCTGGACTGGATGGGATGGGATGCCACACAGATGAGCTTGGAGTCTTCTAACTGCGAGTGGGACATCATCTGGGGGGTCACCAGCTCCCAGGCAGATGTTGTGCAGGACAGCACATGCCATTATGACCTGTAGAAAAAAGGAGACAAAAATTTTTATTTTTATTCAGTCATCTATCTTTTTTCATTATCTTTGCTACATGAATTATTAGAAATTTTATTTTACCTAATCTAGATCCACTATTTAACTTTTTTTTCTTTCGTTTTTAGATTTAGAATTTTTTTTTTCTGTTTTCTGTTTTTGTTATATAATTGCAAATACAATCAGGCAGTAAGGGGATAATTTAGACAAATAATGATTTATTTCTCAATCTAACACAGTTTGGGTTCTCAACACAACATTAGTAATGGTGAAAGTAGTGATTTAAGTCAGTTATTTACAGGGTTTGTACACATTTAACTATGCAATTCAAATTACTAAAGTTACAAACAAGCTTATATCAAGTCTTACAAATGAATCTAAAATTTGATAAACATATTCGTCAATCTGCTGACAAACGTTTGTTTAATAGCTGGTATATTCTGATCATTAGCAGGCCCCTGTGGGGGAAAATAATAACATGTAAATGTTACCTCTCCACTGCGCTCTCCCAGCCTGAGAAAAATCCGTCGACGGTTTTGCTGCCGCCAAAGCCGTC